ACTGTCTGACGCGTCTGCCTCCGCGACCCGAAAGGAGAAGCGGCGATGGAAGATGATGATGATGATGATGCTAATTACAATTTAAGTAAGACCAACCACTGAAAAGCCAGATTTGTGTAAAACTGACTGTACCTTTATATCACGAAGTAACAGGCGGTTTTAAAACAAGCGAATCATGAACAATAATTAAAAAACTGAAACGAAACGATGTATTTGCAGTGCAGTACAAAATATATGTATATTACATGCACAACAAATTACGCAAGCTGCGCCATCATGCAAAGAGAGACTGATGCGCCAACAGCCGGATTCCTCTAATCACCCATAGCTTCAGGCACCAACGATTATGTTGTTTATTGGAATGTGGATAAGCTTAACGAAAAATCCGATGAATCCCATGATTGCAAAACCGATCGCTGTCGCCACTGCTATTTTTTGGTACTCTAAAATTAATTATTATCAGTGCATATGAATGAAATAGCGAATTTAATTACGACAGATAAAATAACTGCACCAGTAGCAAACTGCTGATCTTAACTTCAAAACGCTTCATAAACTGTTTCTCACGGCCAGATACTGATCTGCGAATGAAGCCACATAAGCAAGCTGTGAAAGCCCTTTTATTATAAATGACGACAAACTACGGGTGTCCTTTAGCTACATACTAAACAAAACTCTAAGTAATCAACATTTGCAAAAGTTCATGTTAATTCAGCACTCGCGTATAAGAATTCTCATAATTCAACTCAGAATCAATAGGCTATTAAAGATCCACCGTTTGACGCAAAACCACGCTATGTTTTGCGAAGACTCATATACATCCAAAGAAGTAGCCCCCGTGATATACCACTTGAGTATAAATCAAAACTGGATCGCGAAGAAAAACACAACCCAAAACAATCAAAACGAACAGGGCAGAACAGCAACAAATGTATCTTGTTCAAAATGGCTTAAACATGCTGTGCATCAAATCTGAAAATTTAGCATCAGACTTTATTGATGTTAACTGTATAAACAGAAAAAAGCTGCTCAGTTGCTAATTTTTCTCTCTTCTGGTATGAACCATCATATACACCGAGATCTCACCGGTTTGGACGGTGAAAAATCATCCTTTGCTAGAGAGTAAATGTAATGATATCAAAAACAGTTTACGATGTATTTCACAGTTTATGCCGTTGGTTGTCTATGATCCATCACCAATCTGATTTCTATGTGAAATTCAATTCAGACTCTTAGAACCTTTACAAAGTTGAGAAATGGTTCAGTTAATGCATAATCATTACGTTGTCTCTTAACTTGAATTTCTCAGGGTTCTTGGTAGCTTATAACGACTAAAAAAACCTACCCTACTTTGCATATAATACTCCGTCACTCCTAGTATCCTAGAAGATAGTTTAAGGAGGTCAGTGCTCGGCTGATATAACGGCATGTGCAGTAATGGGTGTAAAAACATCACTGCTCGGTCGAACAGAAGATATATTTCAATCAGTAGGAGTATATATAATAAAAGTGGGCTTTGCTATTGCTGTTAGTCCGTCACTTCACTAAACCTGAAAAAGGGATGAGATCGTTATTCTTACCGAAGTTATTGCAAAAGAGTCGTTTTCTAGCATAATGACGGCTTTATTTGCATTATATCTTTCCGGCGTTTGAGAGCATAATCTTTACAAATGCACGTGGTAATCCGGCAATATAGCGCGACTTCAAAAAATATTTACAGAGAAAGCAGGTAGTAGATTTGAATATATCAAATTTAATGTAATTTAAGCAGAAATTTTTTATTAACAGCTTAGTTTTGTATGAATTCTGGGAGTGCACGTATTTCACTTTCAATCAGAAGCTACCACCATAACCATCGTTCATTGGAATGATTACCTAAGTTGGTACAAACTAAGCTGTTAGTTTGGAAGCAGGTAGAACTTGATCTTGTGTTGCCAACCTATACTCCATTAGCTTCGATGCATTTAATGACTGACAATTGGATGGACGGAAAATGTCAAAATTAATGATGGATAATTATTTATCTTATCAGATTTTTAACCCTTTTAAAATGGCAGTTGTTTCTGTCTACTATTTGTGGAACTCAGTGGAAAATTCAAATCAGCTGAGCGGAACCATAAGTGACGGACTGAGCGACTAGTTTGATGGTTTAAAAAGGATGCCATCTTTATGAATCTTGGGAAATTCATAGAAGGAATATAGTAATAATTACTTGTTTGACAAAAGATCTGATAATCCTGATGATTTTACTTATACCAAACCTCTCTATCTGACTGACGATCTCACCGAGCTGCAACCATATCTGCATAACTGATATTCATCTATGAACAAGTCCGACCTTATGCACCTTAAGCTTGAGTCTTAAATGCTCATGGCTTTATATACATTACTGACGTGATCGCCATTCCCTGAATTTATTTAAACAATAGCTGAAGAAGAACAATTAAATCGAATGAAGGTTCATGAATCATTATTTAAATTTAATTCATAGTTCCTTTGGAAACGATTTTAGGACGAAGTACTTTTGCTGTCCGTCAACTTTGGTCTCGAATCAGATACAAGCTGTCGATCATCTGTTGCTATTGTCCCCTAAGATGAGATAAAGCCTGAGCGGCAAAATCACCTCAATGAAAGCCGCAGAATAACTTTCCTGGCTCAATATGTTTCGTCAGCGTGTGACGTATGTCACCTGGCAACAAAAACAAAGGTCCAAAGTTACATTAAATAAAGCAAGAAAACGAAATATACCGAAACTGACCCGACATACTTTTTCTTTTTATCTAGCCTTGACTTCGCAGAAACTACAAAAATATAAAATTACGTTCAAGCACGCTTACATTATCTCTTAAAATAAGAAGAAAAAATGTAATGAAACATAAAACACTAAGCTGTTAAGGCAACTATACCTGCAGACAGCCAGACTTTCAGTTAACCTTCTGTAGCACATTTTCAGAGAAGAATGTAATTTAACAAAATATCAGGAGATAATGAGTAACAGATCCGCTTTATGTGGTTTATGAAACGAAATGAACAGATTTTGCCTATCTAATGTTTATCAAATGAACGAGGGATGCGAAGGCTTGGGGATGAATAAATGAACCGGTGCATCGCGAGTTCAACAAAAAATAAAGCAGTAAACAAGACACAATGCATCATTTTGATCTGGTTATTATACCAGTATTTCAGTATGAGATTCACATATTCTGCTGGAAATGGCGGCTTTGAAACACTGCGATTCGTGAAAAGCACAGACCCTAGGAAAATCGCATAATTTTCAGTAATAATTTTGCCTCCATAATCCTTAGTCGTAATGAGTAGCTGCAAACAAGTGGAGATGCATGATTTCGTTTATTTGAACCTTTCGCATTTTTGACAGTATGAAGTATTGGTTGAGTGACCAATGGAAATTATCTGCTTGTCTGCAACATCTCTTTAGCCAGATGATGTACTATCTACCGACCTTTCACTGACCAGTCGCAGTTACAACATACCCACGACCGTATCATTTTATCCTCAATTTGTATCGTAACTGCTGCTACCGCAATCTGTTCATCGCATGAACAAGAAATGACTACCCTTAAAAAAACATATAAATGCAGGATGAACGGTACAGGCAAAGGATCTCATACCTTGCAATCTTAAACTCAGATCGCCTAAATGAACCAGTTTCCACAAAACGAAATGCAGCAGATGGCATCTGCTGAAAAGTAGACAAGTTTATCTATCTGCTCGAGAAATCAAATTTTGAACTTTTTGACCAAGAATGAAAGGTAAATAACAACAACGGAGTTTACATCTTGTACTGAATATCACACTCGATAATATGTCAGAAGATGCCTCAAGGCGAACTGCAGTTTTAAGAAACACTCACATTACATGATATAATTGTAACTCACGTCCTTCCTAGTATAACTTCACAAGAACATCACGCTGCCCTGCTGTTCGCAAGTCAACATGCTGCTGTCAACTTTTCAGCTCACTGCATAAAGCCAGTGTAGAGCGAATTCTGTCAATGCGAATTAACGATTAATATAATCACTTTGGAAATTCTGACTAGAACCGCCAAAATTTCAAGACCCCTCTTAAAACCCTGTCACCGCCCCCAAACACATCCCAACATGCAGTTTGAAACTGCATTC